GAACCTACATCAGGAGCTAGGATGATTCACCAAAGCTGTACGCAGAGAAAAGCTGGAGACCTTAGATGCCATATGAGAGAAAAATCAAGCTCTGGGTCCAAAGGCACAAAAAGCTTTTCGGTCTTTTTGGTACTGGGGATTGAACTCGGGACCTTGCGCTTGCCAAGCAGGTGCTTATCATGAGAGAATTAATCCAACAATGAGTGCAGACCTGTGTGTTACATTCAAGTCTGACTGAAAACACACCAAGGGGCAACTCAGGGGCAGGAACTTGACCAGCCCACAAGTCTGGGCTCAGGCTTGGCCTCCAGCATAGCCAGAAAACTTGTAAAAAAAGAACTTCTGGGAATTCTAACCCAGGCAAGAAGGCAGAGAGGAAATGCAAATCCACACTGGGCGTGGGAAGGGCTCGCACTGTGGACATGAAGGAGAAATGCTGAAAGAACCGAGAAGGATGTCAGACATGATGGGAGGCTCTGGAATATTTCTAGGAAACATTAATAACAAGGGGGCCTGCCCATTAGCTCAGTTGTTTAAGTGACTGCTTAAGCAAAGCAATCAGGATTCTGTGGTTCGATCCCCAGATCCTCAAGCCTTACCAGACCTGCCCTGAAGACATCCTGAGCCAGAAAAAAAAAAAAAAAAAAAAAAAAAAAAAAAAAAAAAAAACCTTCTGAATAACCAAATCAGACTGAGCATGTTTACAGCCAAAGGGAACCAATAACTACATTTCCATGACATCGGCCGACAGCCAAGGAAACCTCAGGGAAGCAGGAGCAGCAGCAACATCTGTGTGAACATCCAAGCTGCAGCCTCCGGTGATCTGTGGAATCTTAAACCCTTTCCACTGTACAGTCCACATCAAAGGTTGTCCTGCTCATTCTGTGGTGCCGCTATGAGCAGGACTCACCCAGGATGAGTGGGAAGTCACACTGATTCCTACCTGAGACTACGGAAGAAATACTCTGAGAAGCAACTCAGGGAATGTGAGCATCTTGGGCACAATGAGCTAGACCTCAAGGGTCCTTCCAGGAGGGTCTGGCTCAGGGAAGCTCTCCAGTCAGCACAGGAATGGGCCATAGAGGCCATGTGGTTGTGTGGACGGAGGGCAGCCCTGGCTCTCCAAAGCCGTTCCTGGTGCCCACTCAGCCGTGAATGCAGGGTGGTGTGGCTGTTGGCGAGCGGACATCTGTGTGCTCAGGGCCAGCTCAGACATTGGCAGTCAAGGCCTCTCATTCCCAGGAGGGCTTGGCCAAGGGTAGCACCAGATAAGAGAACACATAGGAAGCCCTGGGAAGCAAGGCTGCTGCTTGGCACTGAAAGCAGAAAATGAGGGAGAGAGAATGAGGAAAAACAGGATGCCACCCAGAGACCTCTCCATGCCGTCCCCACATACATACCCAAGATATCTATCCTAGCTCCCTTGTCACTGGACAAAGTACCTGACATCCCCAACTTAAAGGAGGAGATGCTTATTTTGTCTCAGTTTTAGAAGTTTCGGTACCCACAGGACAGAAGGGCCTGGTGGAGGAGAGCCGCTTGCCTCGCGGCAGCTAAGAAGCAAAGAGAAGCAAGAGTGGGAGAGGGGAGCCACGTGGTGATGGCCTCTGCCCTCCAGACCATCCCAGAGTAGACAGTGAACAAAATGAAGCCAATCCACAGGCTGGGATCTCCTGTGGCAGACCCATGCCATGAGTAGATGATGGGAGGGTGTTACACGGAGCGACAGGAGCTGGAGCAAAAGCCAGTGTGTTTTCTCTCATTTTTGTGAACTAGCCAGAGCAGCAAAGCCATAGAGCAGTGACTAGATCAGCGGTCTGGTGCACAGGATGAGGGGTGCCAGCAATGAGTACAGGGTCCCTTTCAGGGTAACGGAGGTGTTCTGGAATGAGAAACCACATGGGAATGGGCCTGCAGCACTGCACACTTGGAACACGGCGCTTGATGCTGTGTGCGTGATCTGTCTCTGCTGTTTAAAAAAGAGGATGACAGGACAGCACCCAGCTGCTCCACCCGCCACAAAATGAGGGAGAGGGACCGGCTGCAGACTGATCTGCATTTCCTGCCATGAGTAAACAGCTCAAAAGGCTTCTTCCCTTGCACTGCCTGCATCCTGTAGGCTTTTTCTACTCACCTGATGGTCACCTGCTGAGGTGGAAGGGGCCTACCATGCTCTTGGCCACAAACAGGTGTAATCATAACTGACCTAGTCTGGTGCTCATGAAGCTGCTCTGCTACCAGAAGATGTGAGTACCAGACCACAAGTGCCAAGGAGAATCCCAGAGGGAGCAGAGTAAAAGGGGTGGAGGGCAGCTTTATGCCTCTGATCATGTGACTTCTGGGCAGAGACTGAGTGACCCCTTCACGTGGCCCAGGGAATGTCACATGCCAAGCCTGGGGCAGGGACACTCTTGGCTGCTGAGGAGCAGCTAATGATTCTGAGGTGGAGCAGGGTGCAGGGTGCACAGTCCCAGGGGCCACACAGGCCTGTACAAGAGCTATACCTGTTCCCTAGGGTTGCTGTACAAGTGACTGTCATCTCACCCATAAGAGATGCATCCCAAGCCAGCATTGGTGGGGCTGGGCAGGTGGCTTAATAGAATAAGTGCTTGCCTGGCAAGCACAGGGTCCTGAGTTCAATCCTTGGTACCGCAAAAAAAAAAAAAAAAAATGTGAAAACTGTTTTTTCATGGGCTTTCCATCTGCTATCCTTTTGTCCACAGTGGACTATAGATAACTGAACCCTTGAGAAAGCAAGATAGTGGATGACAGGCTGCTGTGCCCCATCTGGTGACAAAAGCCTACCCACCCCAGCTTTGGGAGCTGGAATCTGTAGCCAAGGTGTGGGCAGCATCTGCCTCAGGGGAGCCCCTCCCTCCTCCCAGCTTTGATGCAATGACCCTGGCCATCCCTTGGTCTTCTGTGTACATCTCTGCATCGCTCACCTTGAGAGTCTCAGGCACTAGGTTGAGGGTCCAGCCCAGCCAGTGGCCTTCCTGTGACTCAACTGCATCTGCAAAGGGCTGGCTCATGGTTCTAGGTGGATGTGGTGTGGGGGACACTGGCTGCCCAGGATGGGGCCCCTCTGCAGGGCCGGCCTCTGCCCATGGCAGTCCTGGTTCCTTAGCACACATTTTTCTTGCTTCCATTGGGGTGTCTGAATGGAGAACAGCTTCATCTAACTGAACCACTTCATCTGAGTCACAGGCCAACTGGAGGGCCAAGAGAGGCTGAAGTAGTCAGCACCCTCAAAGAAGTAGGCCTCCCTCCACACCCTGCGTGCCTGCCCAGGATGGAACCATCTGTGTTCATGACTCCACTTACTGTGTGGTACCCAGGAGCTTCCCAATTATCAGCAGTGTCCACATTCAAATTGCCCTGCAAGTATCCCACAGGACACATGAAATGGCTGGCATCTACCCTGGAAGCAGGGCAGTCTTCTCTAGACACACAGCAGGGGTGAGAAGTAGCAGGTTCCAGACTTTACTGGGCACTGACTTGGAATTTGTACATTGACTAGGGCAGGTTTGAGAGGAAGCAATCAAGGATGGTGTTGCACTGTGCACTGCTGCCTCACTCCAGGGCTACCCTGCTGTGTCGGAAGCTGGAAGCCAGTTGTGCTCTGGGAAGGGTGAGCAGGCTCAGAAATGGGGCTCCCTGGGGGAGGGGCAAGACTGTGACAGGGCACCAGGATGGCTGGGGGCCCTAGGGAGCCCAGCACCCACCCATGCCTACACCCCTGAGTCTTCTAGACCTCATTCCCTTGGCCGGGCACTACAGGGCACAGAACCCCTGGGATCACCCTTTTCATCCTGCTCCACCACAGGGCTCCCTGTACCCACCCCTACCACTACCCAGCCAGAGCAGCCTCCCAGGGTGTGGACTGACCTTGCACCCAGGTGACACCACACACACTGCAGGGATAGGACACTGGACAGGCTGGAGCTGAGACCAAAACCTGGACTCCACAACAGGGTGCCAGGCCACCCTGTTGGCTCCTGATCTGCAGGAAGAACCTGGCCTGGGCCATCCCTACCCACCCACTGACTCTGGCTATGGGGCCTGGCCCGAAGCTCAGGTGCTGTGAGGCCTTCTGTGGTCCATGACACTCTCCTTCCTCCACAGGTGCCAGCAGCAGAAAGCTGCAGCACTCCCTGCCCTCCTGCCCATTCCCCTAGCTCATGCTCCAGCAGAGGCCAGCCTGAGAGTCCTGGCCAGGTAGACCTAGGACCTGGGTCAGAGCTGGGAGCCCAGAGCCCTCCAGGCAGGGCAAGGGCCAGAGTGGGGGACCTAGGAGAGCAGAGCATGGGTAGGCGGGCTTAGCAGAGGGGGTGCGATGATGGGAGGTTAGTTGGCAGGGGAGGGGACGAGGGATGGAGCAGGGCAAGGGGCGGGGCCATGAAAGCTGGGCGGGGCCTAGGGGTGGGACTACCAGGGAGGTGAGTGTTACTAGGGCAGGGCAGGGCCCAGGCCAGACCAGAGGCATTGCCCAAGGATTGGAGGACCACAATGCAAAACCATCATTCATATCCACCAGCCAGGGGCCTGGGCTGTGGACTGGCTGGGAAGTGTAAGAGCACCATGGGGCTAGGAAGCCTCTAAAGGGAGTTGCAGGGAGGGCCCAGATCCAGCACCCCACTGGACAGAAAGGGGCAAGCTCCTGCCCACAACACACACCCAGAATCCAGAGGACAGGATCCTGGGGCCACCAGCCAGGTACGGGATGGGGCAGCCCATGGCAGGGGACGGTCCCTGATGTGTGGGAGCCTGCTGTGGCCTGAGCTGGGTGAGGGAGGAGTTATGCTTGTCCTCTGGTGGACAGAGGCCCCCCTGACCTCCCTGCATGCTGCCCATTGCAGCCACAGGGGTCTCAGGAGAACCCCACACCCCAGGCCATGGCTCGCTGCCCACTCCATCATACCAGGAGCATCACAAACCACACCAAGTCCCAGGAGGACCATATTTCTGGGGGAGGCAGGCACCCCAGGCTGAGCACTCACTTCTGGAGTCTGATTCTTCCTGGCAGGGGTTCTGGGGGAGCAGCCAGCAGCTGAGTCACTTACTGCTGGATGGCTTCTTCATCTTTGCACCTGCTTGTGCCTCTGCTGAGCTGGAGACGCTGGGGAAGGCACAAGCTCCCAAGGGTGATGCTTCCCGCTCCTTCCACTCCAAAGCTCCCGCCACCTCCTCCCTGGCAAAGTCACAGTCATTTGTCAAATGAGCCACGTGGACACCTCTGCTGGGTGCTGCCTCCACACAGTGTCTCCCAGACTGGGTATTGCTTGGCCCAGGGCAGTGAGAAAAATGCCAAGTGAGGTCACCCAGGGGTTGTGGGAACCTGTCCAAGTCCCAGTTCTTACATGCCAATTAGGGGACTTCTGATCTGGGTCATCTGTGTAGAGAAACTGGGCCATGACACCAAGAAACACTGAGCTGAAGCTGAGAACCAACCCAAGGCCACTGTCATGTCCTCTATACCCTGGGTCCCCCAGAGGACTGGTCACACATAGTTCCTACCCCAAGTATTGGTCATCACAGGCACATATAGGACCCAGTCCCCTCACCATCTCAGCCAGCCCTGTGGTCCCAGCACCCTGCTGAGTTCAAGGGACTTAGAATCACAGGTGACAATCTGGGAAGTTCTAAGTGTCAGGCTCTGGGACTCCCAGAGGATTTGTGGAAACATGGCTCCAACAGGTGGCCCAGTGAGGGCCCAGCAGTTCACAAGGCTGCTGACAGCTGCCCAGGGACCCCACTGGGAGGACTATGACTAGAATGGTTTAGCTGGGGAAGTATCCCCCCCAACCAGCAGAAGCCAGCATCTCTGCTACTGGGTAAAGAATCCCCAGAGAGAAATACCCCAAGGTCAAGTCACCTCAACATCCGTGGACTACTGGGAAAGCAGGTTGGGTGCCACCCCAATGTGGTATCACAACACGGGTGGTCAGTTCTGAGACCTGTGCCCTCCAGAAGTCAGAGGTGGTAATGGAGATGTTGTCTAGAGGGGGGACAATGAGACAGAAAGTGGCTTGCTGCAGCGAGCAGAAGTTAAGAAGACAGAGCCACGCTAGCTCAGAAAGGTGTTTGGTTCCCATTTACATTTGTGTTTCAATTTAGAGTCCACATTCAGAAGTATACAAGGCCAATGGCTGAGGTGAGGTGCAACCAAATACTTCACTTAAAGTAAAAAAAAAAAAAAAAGAGAGAGGAGAAGAAAGCAAAGAAAGGAGAGAAGGGAAAAGACAGTGCAAGGGAGGAGGGAAGGAAGAAAAAAGGGAAGAAAGGGTAGAGGGGGAGCAAGTGAGCACACACAGCAAGAGGAGGCTCTTTGTGCTGAATCTGTGCTGAGGATGTGGGGGGCTCACTCTCCACCTTTCAGTATGTTTGAAATTTTCAGAATAAAAGTTCAATTAGAACCACAGCATCAGCTTGAGACCACACGGTCCGCACAGCAAACAGGAAAGGCTAGAAATAGCCCCACACACACGCAGAACTGTTCACACTGGAAGGTGATGCTCGGAGGCGGAGGAAGGTGCTGAGACATGGGAGCTGGCTGGAAATAGCAAGGCTGGGGCTCTACCAGACGGGTCCATAGCCATGCCTGAAAAAGGATTCCGGACTCTAGAACATTTGAGAATGTCTTCTGGAGTAGAGAAAACCTTGCTGTTCACTTGAACCCTGAGAAAGTATTTATAGGCAACCACTTGTGACCCATAGAAACTAATGTCACAGAGCTCCCACCTAATGTAAACATTACCAAACCAGTCAAGATACACAATGGCTCACACTACCTACATTTTAAAAATCCTACTACACAAAATTAGTACAATAAATTAGGGGGAAAATATTTGCAACTCATCCTCCAAAGTATTGTTTCCTTTCCAGAAAGAGCTTCTTTGAACAGATAAGAAAGCGGCCAACACTCCAGCAGGAACACTTAGTATCACAGACACCAGAAACAGCAGGCCTGGTATGCAGGAGAGGCTCAGGCTCACTCAGCAAGAGGAACTGCATGCAATGCCTCTCACAGCTGGGCCAGGGTGCGGGCAGTGGACGCCACACACTTCACACAAGAGCCAGGTTAACTCCATGACCAGTGCACTCACGGCAGCTGTCAGCAACAGCTCTGGGGTGGGGATATGAGACAGCATTAGCTGTGACACCTACCCCACGGACACTAAAAAGAGTGACATGTTTAGTGTGCCCTGGGAGCCCAAGGCAGCAAATGACATGGCAGCTCAGGCTGGGTAGACCCCCACCCTACCTAGGGCCATTCTCTGACACAGCACCAGGGTTTGTGCACAGAGGCGGGGCTGGAATCCCAGCTTTGCCACCACCTGCCTAGGACCCTGAGGAAGTCAAGTCCCTGGTTCCCTCCCATCTTGGGACAGGGGTGGCTGACCTGTGGCCGCTCTCTATCCCCTGCCTCCTGCAGCAGCTTCTGGGCGAGGTAAGCGGAAGGCAGCTATGGGCCCGTTGCCACGGCAGCCGAAGACTGAGAGGCAGGAAACTGAGGTGGAGCCAGCGCCGCCACCTACTGAGGACGCAGAGCCACTGCCAGGCCTATAGCTACCTCGAGACCCTCACACCATGAATCAATCATGGGCCCACACCACAGCCCATGACAGCCTGCAGGGCCCTGCAACTCCCAAACTGGCCTCCACGGCCTCCTATGAGACCCCAGGACAGGTGCTCCCCATCTGTGGTCACCTCAGACCCTGCATTATGTGTCACCACTGGGTCATACCATACTTCCATGTCCCTAAGCAGGAAAGTTGGCTCCTGCTCCACAGAGGGGAAACAGGCTCAGAACCTCAGGCTTTACACAGTTTAGTGTAGGAATGGGCTGAACCCCAAATGGGCAATCCCAAACGCTGTCCCTTCTATGCTCCTCCACGTGCAGGAAGGAAGGCCCAGGCTACCCTGTCCAGGACCCACCGCGGGACAGCTCCCACACACCTGGGTGAGGGGGTTCCCTGGACAGACCACTCCTAGCTGTTGGCCCAGGCAAGGATCTGCAGCCCTCTGGCCCTTGTCATATAGCAGTGATGATTTCTCACCAGGGACACCACATTGGGCCAGTAGCCCAAACACACTATTCAGCTGGGCTTCTTAGAAAACCCCATGGACTCTGTGGAGGGGAGACGTGGCACACAACAGGCCCATTGGGGCTATACCACCTGCCTCCTCTCCTACCCCCAACCTGCAGCCTCTTTGGGCCTACTACTTTTGTGGGTCCTGTCTCAAAAAAATCCCTCCACCTGGCCTATGCCTGTAATCCTAGCACTCGGGAGGCTGAGGCAGGCAGATCATTGCAAGTTCAAGACCAGCCTGCGCTACAAAGTAAGCTTAAGGCCAGCCTGAACTGAATAGCAAAACCCTGTCTCAAAAAGAAGAAGAAAAAAAAAATCCCTCTACCTATCCCACAGAGTCTCCATCACCCTCACAGCTCTAGGGCCATACCTGGAGCCATCAAGGCTGGACAGTTGTGTGAAACCCTGGTGTCCACCAGGTTACCAGCAGGTAGCTCCCATGGAGAAGCCAGAGTCCTGCCCCTCACCGGCACCCACAGGTTGCCACTTCTTGCTGGAAAGGACCCCTTGCTGACTCCCATCCGAATCCCCACCTTGAAACCTGGCTTCTCCTACAGGTCACCCATTTTAGGTGCCACCATGACCACAGCCACAAATGCCCTCCACTGTGCTCCTCAAGTGACTCTAAACTCTGTCTGATTCCAGTGTTGTTTCCTCTGGGACCCTTCTTGATTCAGGCCTGTGCACTTCCCAGACCAGACTCGGCTGAGTTTCTGTGAATGTCCCCAGCTGTGTTCATGAGAGCTGGGACACTGATGCTTCCCTGCCCACCAACGTGCCCCCACCAGTGTACCCTGGTCTCCCAAGGCTCCCATGGACCCTCTACCCTATCACTGGGGTGGCGGGAAGGGATGCAGGTTGTGGGGTCCCTTTAGGACCCCTGCAAAGTGCTCTGTGTAAAATATTCAAGTTTGTGTCCTTCTTGCCAGCCTGGGCCATTATCCACACCTGTGCCACCATCCCTGAGGGGCCTCCACCCTATTCATGCCAAGACAGTGGCTTGGCCCCAGGGAACATCTATCATCTCCCAGAAGGGCCCAGAGCTCCCCTCTGTCTGAAGGCCCTGGCCCCCATGGGCAACATGGGTACCCTCAATGTTCATGCACTGGAAGGGCCTCAGGAACACCAATCCTCATTGAGCCCAATGGAGTCTCCACTGCCAGAAGCAGAACCCATGCAGATAAGTGACACCACCCACTCTGAGTCACAGACTCAGGAAGAACCCTGGAGCCCCAACCCCAGCCTTCTAGGGAGTCTCTCCCTGGTCCAGCCCTCCCCCAAAAGATCTGCCTACCCATCTCTGAGGGCATAGGGCTAAGTCCAGCAGCCAGAAGAGCCTTCTGCCCTGGCCGGTTCTCCCAGGCTGACCCAGCCAGAAGAGCCCTTCCACCTCCTATCCCTTCAGCCAATGACAGGCTGCACAGCGCCACCTTGTGTACACAGGCTGTGCCTGCAAAACAGCCCAAGGGCCCACAGCCATCTGGCCAGGTAAAGGCCACCTGCCCGAAGCCTGGACTCCCAAAGTGATAGCAACAGCTCCAAGTTGGGGCATATCCCCATACCTCTGTGGAAAAGCCCCTGACCTGTCCCAGTGCTGGGAGGCAAGCCTCTTATGGATGATTATATTCGTGGATCCAGGTACCAGAGACCTGGAGACCCCATGGGCAGAAGGTGGAGAGAACTTGAGATCTGATTTACATTGGGAAGCATCTCCTCCCCAGCACCCCCCAGTACCCTCTGTAGGACCTCTCCAGCATCTTCAGCACATCCCAGCATCCACCCTAGCATTCTCTGCCTCCTCCTAAGCCTCTTCCTCTAGCCACTCTTTAGCAGCGTTGCCACGGCAACTGGATCCAAGGAGAACTCTCTTCAAGGTAGAGTCTGAGGGTGACACTGGGAATGGAAGTGGTGGTGACAACAGCAGTTGCTGGCCTCTGGTCCCACTCCCACTCCTCCAGCACCTGCCA